CATCTGGTGAAAACGACAAACGAATCTCTTCATCATGTACTTTCATTCGAAATGAAGTTCCCCCTAATAACATTTAATAGTTATGCCTTCGATAATGAAGATAAATACCGAAAATCTTTAAACAAAAAAAGGGGGAAATTAATTTTCTCTGGTATTGTCTCAGGCTCCCTGTCAATACTAACATAAAATAATGCAGAGTGCAGTTAATTAAACTCAGACAGACGCTAGTCTCTAATTTTAGGAAAGCTAAATTTTTATAGTTTGAAAAGAAACATTCTCCGATGACGAAGGTTTAGCGAAGAGCCAGCGTAAGTTACATCTTTATCGTAAAAATTCTAGGAGCTTTTCTGTTTGCAAAAGATGATACTTGAAGTCGGTATATGCCTCAAACGAAGGAGCTATAACTCCCTTACACTTATATATATATATATTAAGAGCCTGGCAAATAATGCTAAAGAAGTTAAAGAAAATAAACCCGCATTAATGTGTATAAAAGCTGTTATTTCGAAGGTATTCGCTAAAATATGAATCCTAATGAGTGGGGTCGATATAGAAGTTATTGTATAAAATATTATTCATGTGATTAAAGCACAATAAGCCTTGAGAACAGAATCTTGGTAGAGCTCAGCCAAATTCCAGGTGTTTTCGAAAGCAAAGTCCTCAGATAGCGCAACTCAAACGAAGGTATAAATATAAGAATAGCAAGTAATTCTTGAAACCAGAGTATATTTAGAAAAAGGCCTAGAAAGAAAGAACTCACTGTGATTCAAAGAATCGGTGCTCAGGTGGTCCTAGATGTGCAAGAAGAGTGACCATTTTGTCGAACGGGCGCCTACCTACAGCCTTTCTATCGCTTTAAAAAAATAACACCAAAAATAGGTAAATATAGTTTTTTGCATTTAAAAAAATGAGTTATTAAAAAAGTGAACACAGTGGTAACTAAGGTATATAAGAGATAAGAGGGAGGATGGAAAGCTGAGATGAGATCTTGGAACGATCTTGTCGAAATTCTTGAGGGGAAATGGAAGGTAATATAAAATGAGAACTAAAATTGAACCATTGGCTTAGAAATATATTTGTTTGCTTACAAACTAGTTTTCAAAACCATATTTCTTGCACCAAGGTTCCCGTTCGAGGAACATTGTTTTCCTGATGGTGCCTAAGGAATGAACAGTTAATCAAGATTCCATAAGTACTTAAACCAAACCTTTAGCGATGTAAAAAATCGTTCCGACCCAACTCTAATTTCTACCTTACAAAAGTTATAAAGACCAAAGACTGCACCTACCGGCTACTAGACAGGTAGTCGCCGATTTTTTCTTGGTTATACCAGAGAAGACGATGTACCGACTGTATTACGCTATCAGGAATGAACGGCGTAATAGCCATACTCTGACCAGCAGCTACTGCTGCCACCGCCTCCGGTGATGAAAAATGAAATGGTGCGGCTTTCTGAGACTGTTTCTGCTTGGGTGAATTGTGGTGATGATGGTGAGGGTGAAGTGTATAGCGCAGCGGATAAAAGGCGTGTAGATCATGACACAACTCCGAGTAGCGGGTATGGACAGTGGAAAATCGGACATCCAGCGGTTGAGATGCATGAGTCGCAGGGGTGCTGGGTAAGGTAGAAGTAGAAGGCGACTGATTCGTTGCATGCATCTGCATGGTAGAAGTACCGAAAGACAGAGAGGATGTAGGTGGCGAAGAAATACTAGTCATTATTCCAAGTGCCGGTTGGTCCGAAGCACAAAACGTTGGGGTTAATAGCGGGGGTCGGCAACAAATGGACCTGTTTCTAGGCCTTCGGTCGTCACTGGACTCAGATTGTGAGATCGATTCGGCCTCTCTAGTTTGGATTAGCATAGGAAGTATCAGGTTAGGACCGGGGATACGAGGTTCCAATACTAATTTGTTGCTCGAAGCAGAACTGCTCGTATTGTTGAAATCGCCGGCTGTGATGGGGATAATGCCGCTACCGGAAGGGTTGCCGAAAGCATGGTGATGTGATAGTTGATAGTGGTGGTGATGATGATGCCGGTGGTGATGGCGATGATGGTGCGAATGCTCATTAAAAAATGGATCATACAGGCTAGGTTCAATGAGACCCAGAGGCGGCAAGCCGAGTTCGGTAGGAAGAGAGGCGTAGTTAAGCATCGAGTAGTCGGAAGTATCCTTGCTGACCTCCTAAAAATTAAAGTGAACGAGACTTGATTTTTGGCGAGAGAAAAGCGAATTTATGCGAGGCAGTAAAATGCAAAGAGAAAAGAAGAAGGCAATGCAATCATGAAAAAATTAGGATAAAAATGGAGGATTCTTTGGGAGAGCCATTTTTAGAACATCCATGGAAATATTTAGATAAAAATAGAGGATTATTTGGGAGAGCCATTTTATGACATCATCACTCAAACTTGGGAAATTCATGCATAGAGGTTACCCTGAATGCAGAAATCAATTTTAAAGGGTGAACTAATTTAAGAGAATTTGCTAGTATAGGTCATATCTACTTCATTCGGTGTGGCGTAATTCAAATAAATGTGCCCAAACAAACATCAGCACAAAAATATTAACAGAAGTGCGTGCCTAGAGGAGACGTGATTTGCATATTTTTCATCATACAAAAATTCATCTTAAGATGTATAAAAACTGGATTTCGACATTGCAGGATCAATAATATAAATAATTAGGGAAAGGATGGAACCGCTCGGTTACAAGTGCATCCGGCTCCTGCTTCATCTGCAGCCACATGAGAGGATATCCAACCAAATCATGATATATTTCATTAAGTTAGGCTATAGAGGTAGGTAGGATTGAAACCGATCACCTTTAGTGTTTGGTGAATTATCGTCGCATGACGGACGAAAGCTCAGCAGGGATTCATCGGGGTCACAGGACGTTATTCTCACAAATCTAGTCACAACTCAAAGGCGACCCCCCTTCCACTTTCGATAAGACCAACTTATGGATACCTTCCACTCGCCTCTTTATAACGAAGTGAAAGGTACTACAATATCAATTTATTGTATAAATTAGCCAATGAAACGTTAAAGCACAACAAATAAGCCAAATAGACCTTATCTCAATAGAGAAATACGAATAAATAAAAATGTGCTTATCCATCTGCAACAAACAAATATCCAACAAAAATCTATAAAGGCCTAACACCAACCTCCATTCAGATCGCCTTAGTCTTGGATATGCATCACGTCCCTAACCGGTTAAGAACTAGGAGAAAATTCGGGTATAGTCAAAAACTTAGGCTGGTTGACCTCTAATATAAAACTGCTTGATAAAAGTTAATTAGTACTAAATGCATAAATCAAGCCTCAGGTCGAAATTAAAGCCTTCAACTATTTCACAATCCCGCATATTGAATCTACTTTTTCTTTAATCCTATAGCCTACTAGTTAACGAAAATAGAAATCAGTATCATAACATAAATGGGAAATAAAAAGCACATCAATGATTTCCACTGTCTTAATGTTCTTAGGGTTTGTAAAATATTTCAATTTTAATTTGTGGTCTAACAAGCACAGGTAATGATGCTCAGCAATGAGATT